CTGGCCATGGGTGCTGAAGACACGTGGAGCAAATTGCAAAAAATTGCACAATTGGTAAATTTTAGGGCTCTTGTATTCGGCTCAAACAGACTTTAGAGAGACAAGATTAGCTTCAAAAGTATCTTCTATGTGAAGAAAGCCCCCCCCCCCACCACCCCTCCAAAAAAACAACAACAACAACGAAAACCGAAAAGCCGAATCATTAAGGAAAGATTTAACGCTGAGCAATCTCATACCCCGGGAAACTGGTAATAGGGTTGAAAAGTTTGGGTGCTACGGGAATGAGTTTTCCCCTCTCTTCTTGATACTGTGGGATTCAGAGTCTTTTACCAAGCTGTACTTGACAGTTTTTGCACCGGCCCCTTAAGTAAAACCCCAGAAAATCTTGGTGATCTTGGCAAATATCAAGCGAGCTTGCTCTATCGTGATTAACATAAAAAGCCCTTGTAAAAAATGTATGCATTTAGGCATATCCAGTACCTTGATGCAAACAGACTTAGAAACAGCGCAACAACAATGTACCATGCACGAAGAAAACCATAATTAGTTTCTTTAAACAGATGATGAGAATATGCATCGTAAGATAAATCTAAAAACAAAAACAAAGGCAGTGAAGCTGAACTGAACCTTGGGTGAAAATTGAACGCATGATCATAATAGCCGCACCCAAAAACAAGATGATTGCTTCATAGACTGTGAAAATGCAATTACAAATACAGTTCTGATTAACAATTCGTGACAGGAGAATGAAAAATACGCAAGTGACATATTATATGTATTTACCAGCATGGTAAAGAATTAGATCCATTTTGCCTTCACCACTCAACCGGACACACAAAGAGTTGATATCTGGGCGGGTTGGTCAGCCAAGCCACCGTTCATTTAACGCCAAATCGATAAGCTAACACAAGTCCATTACAATTGAAGTGAACTAAATGCATCAAAGCCGGACACGAAAACCCCTTAAAACCAGCAGGTGGAAAAAAAACCGGGGAACTTGTACCCCTGACCAAGACAGCGGTGCCACCCTTGGGGTTTTAGGGTATCCTACGAATAACATTTTTGCATAGTTACTTAAGGCACTCTGCAAGTACCGCTTTAAATTTATAGAAAAGACAAAAACGAAAACGAAAAGCTACACACCGTGAAGGCTGTCCGTAGAATGCCTTACCCTATTAACGACCTCTAATTAAAAACCACGATCCCATAACTCTTGGCGTACCTCGCAGCCATCCCCAGTCCTCCGATACGTGCCGGCAAAAGATTAATTTATATTAAGTAGGATTATCACAAATTACTTATTTCATCGTTGATTTTATCACGGTTTATACCAAGTACGTAGGCTTGCACGTGATAGGAAATACCCGTGGACATTCACTGAGTTTTTATTGTTTCCACTACACTCACAAACGCCCCCTTTGGAATTCGAAAAAAGAAAAACTTTCCATTGTCCCGACCATATTATTTTCCTTCGCAGGACGATATGCAAATCTCCCTTACAGGGTTTTTGATCGACGGCACAAATTTACTTCCGGTGACCCCTCCCCCAACCAAAAAAAAAAACAGCAACAAACCAACAAACAACAACAACAACAAAAAAACATATAAATAAATAAACAAACAGAAAGAATGCCAAAATTTGGGAAAGCATTAGGTATTAAATGTGATAATTTGTCGGCCTGAAGAAGACTTATTTATTTCATCCAGGAGTGGTGGGTCAAAAATTATAACTTCGTAACTTCTAATGTGTACCCTAATGCCCCAGATCAGCGACGTATCTTACATGCAAGCCATCATTAATATCCAATATGCAATGAATAGAAAAAAAAACAAACAAACAAACCCAGGAAACATAGGCGGCTTGTGTGGATAAATATTAGGTTGCGTAAAACGATCAATGAAGCGATTTTCGTTTGTCCTCTTTATTCACCACTGTAAAACAGTCATAAAGGCCGATAAAAAGTCGTCCTTTTATCCCTCTATCAATTATATATTGTACCAAAAATGTCTAAAGAAGAGACAATGCCATTGCGACAATGCCGCTTTATCTGAAGCTACAAAATCAACCAAAACAATACGCGCCAAAATCGTATTTTAAAAGTGCATCCAGTTAACAGTTTCGCTCATCGCATATCCGGTCTACATTCGTGTGGTCGTAAACAACGATTTTAGCTTCTCAGCCATGCACCACGGAATGTACGGCTCGATTTAGTCAAAGACTTAATTCAGAATTGTTGCAGACATGCATTTGCTTAGTTGTGATCTTGATGCATCTAATAAAACTTCCTGGATGGATTGTATCGACTGTTCTTTATTCCGGTTAAAGCCTCGTTATCTCTGATCTAAAAGTAGATGTTCGGTAAGGCTAGCCAGTTAGATTTGACCTTTCCGCTAGAGTCTGAGCAAAGTTTGGTCGAGAAAATGGAGCGAGGGAACTGAGAAGATCTCCATACTATACAACAAAGGCATCCAGAAGAAATTTCTAAAAGTTGCAAGGTAGGCTTTATTTGAATTTATTTTTTATCAAATTTGTCAGTCAAAACCTAATCAATCAAATGTATATAACAGATAAGATGATAGAAAATACTTCTGAAGCTGATATTTTTTATCTAAAGCCTGCTTGAGCCAAATAATGAATCCCTCAAAATTTCAAATTCTGCAATTTTTTGTAACTTGCCTCGGATGTCTTCAACACCCATTGACAAAATATAATTTTCCCCAAATAGATTCTCTGATATTTAGAGACTTCAATATCTATATAGGTTCTGCTACTAACTTTTTTTTTTTTTTTGGGAAAGTGTACTTTCGGAGATATTCCAAATATGGTTGTACTTGTTTTTCCGCTTGTCAAAATGGCGGACAGGCAACATAGTATTACGAGCATTGCCTTCTTGATCGTAAAACCCAAAATAATTTATCGGAAAATTCTATGAGCTAGGAGAGTACCTCTACTATTTGCATGAATTTCATTTAAATTGGTTTACATACACCCGAGAAACAGACTCGTGTTTTTTTACTTCTTGCGAGTGAGTTCTATGGTCAAAACATAGACCTCAGGCCGAAGTGATCAAGTGAGGTTACCATGGCAACGACACACCTGCCAATCCAAATATGGCTGTTTTTGTTCATCCCCCCAGGTACTCTAACTCGACACAAAAAATGAAGGGGGCTTAAAAACGTTTATTTCCAACTTTGCTTCACTTTCTCTGAGAATTCCTCTCAACGGGGGTAAAATATATTGACATGACATGTGTTTTCTCTCTTTATCTGTAATCTAATTCGTGGTAAGCAGAATCCAACGGGGTTGTCACCTCTTTATCCGGCTAGTATAGTGATTGTAACGATCCGGATGGGGGGTGTAAATAAAATTGAAAGCATTGCAGAATACATAGGTATGATGTCTCTCCCTCTGTTTCAATTCCTGGTTTTCCCGATCTTTTTCCTTACAAGATTGAGCATGATGTTTGTCTTGTTGTCGTATCTTACGTTTTAGATTGGAAATTTTCTTTTGTGTCTTAGAACCTCCTATGTTGTAATACTTTAAACAAAATCAAATGTAAATTACGAACTCGAGGACGTGTGGTTTTCTTACCACGCTTAGACATCTAGAATGTCCCACTCCAAGGAAAACCCCTTGATTTTCTTGATTTTATCTTAGATTAGCCTCTATCTCACACACTCATCGTTGGACACGATTGAGATACTAGTGATCTATTTGTGAATCGGTTAGAAGCTGTGGTCACGTCATCAAGTCATGATCATTTTAGCGAATTTTGGTACCCAATCGAGTAAAATTGAGCCGATGGGTAAACAAAGACAGTTTCATGTGTCCTCCTTTAGGACTCTTGTAATATGTTACTTTGTCGACAGCACTCCCGTAAATTCCATCCCCAGCTAACCATCGGTATTACCCAAACGTAGACAAAGCTCGTAACTGTTCTTGATACTTAAACACTTTACGTATCGCATTTAAAACACCCAGATATCCTCATAATCTTTCACTTGGGATACCAATCGATAACGCACTTCTTCTGTCGTTGTCTCTTCATACCCCAAAATGTGATGGAGCAACACACGAGCGCGCCCCATCGATTTTCGTAATTCACATGGAAGGTATACACAGCATGTGGACAAAAGGGACTCATATACACTAACTCTTTCACCTGCTCTAAATCCTCGCGGCAAGCCATCGTAACTAAGAAATGAGACAAAATTTTCTTCAAACACTTTATTACATATCTATTTAGAATCTGATTGGTTTTCATCTTTACAATCTGGACAATCGCATGATGGTTTATGATTGCTCTTTCTTTGAAAGGCTTGATGAAATCCACAAGGGTGTCAAACACTCGATTTCTCTTTTCCACATAATCAGACTGTTCTTCGTCAGGTGTTAACCTATAATCATGTTTTAACATTCGTCTTATGTCGTCTTCATCAGCATTATTTTCCACATTATCCACAAGTTCATCGATATGATGAAGAGTCCATTTTGGATTATGTTCTACGTCGCACATCTTGCTTGGAAAAAATGATAGTGTCTCTTGCATGAGATTCCTCTTTTATGAGATATCCATATTTTAAGTTCTTCATCAATAAGCTGACGTAACTTATAGTGACATTGTGGGCATTGCATGTGTGGATATGGCGTGAAATACCAACATTTAGAGCATTGATACCATTTTACACGGTGCATAGAATTCCTTTCATCTCTCCACCGTACGCGTCCGTCCATGATAACTCATCCACAACTATCAGATCTTTCATTTGCTGTGTTATTTTATCCATTAACTTTGGCATATACACCGCTCTTAGGCGACTCATTCGGCCCCTCTACAACACTTCTTGATTAATTTCTTCTTTTCTCTCACACGATTTACATTCCTGAAACTTGCACGTAAAATTGTACGGGTAACTAAACTCAGGCTTCGCTGAACTCTAACTCGACACATCTACATTCATTGGTATCTCATCTATTGTTCTTTCATGACTCAGCAAATATTTTTATTGACAGTCTTGGACTTGTCTAAAGCAGCCTAGGCAGTCAACCACCAGGCTTAGACAAAAAACTTAGACAAGTACGTGCAAGCTTGGGAAGTGAAACTGCTTTAGTAACCTAGGACATTTCATGACTATGACATGACATTCTAAGACATTTCGTGACTATGACACCACATCTTTTCAACATATATACTCAATGCTCACGTGTAAGGTTCATGTCTATCACTGCGCATGTGTGACATTGTCATAACTCCCACATGGGTCAGAATTTCAGAACCGTATCATATATAAGTCAATCCAACCCCACATTTGAAATAAGCAGCTACGTCTATGTACACGTCATAAATCCAACTTTTTGACAGCCGCCATCTTGGAATACATCGCGTTTACCTATATGTCATGCATCACTAATGAGCTCTCGGTCACACACCAACTTGAATATTTAATTGTAACTCTCACTCGGCCCCAGGCCGAGTGAGAGTTAGAAACTATTAATCGTATCACTTTATCATTTAATTTTTTCAACTTTACATTCCTTTATTGATTTACTTTTTTTTTTAATTAGGTATCTATTCACCCCTATAATTAGCTACATGTAGTTGTTTCATTTATTCATTTTCCTTTCTAATCTCTAAGTGGGAGGAAAAAATTCTTTTAGCATCGTTTACGATCTAACGTTGTATCAATCACAATGAGTTTAAATTTTACATGAAGATTCTCTTTTCTATGTACTGTTTATTTGACATACAGCATTCCTTCACGGTTTCTGTATATTCCACGACTGTAAGGATTCGGTGTCTGACTGCATAGATAGCCATATAGTGCCCGTTTGTTGTCTGTCAGGGACGAAATGAATAGCGATCAAGTAAGACCTTCGCTAAACAGCACAGCTGTCTCAAGTTTGACCTTCGTTTCTTTACATCGTCAAATTATATCAGTTAACCATTGAACACTTAAAAGCAATAAAGGAGCTCTTACTACACATTTGGAATGAGTGTTAACAACGTTCAAAGAAACACGGTGGCGTTACTTCATTTTACAGGGGTGCCGCAGAAAAATTTACGGTCTTTATGTCATAAAAAAGAAGGGAAATAGAGACAATTTATGGGCAATTTACAAAGGCCTTTCGCCACGTTGAAACTTAGATTTTAATTAAGTTTTCTGCGGTTCACTTTGGGTGGGTAAGAAACTATTGTTTTTCGAAAAAACTCCTTACTTCCTTCCCCTCCTATCCTAGCCCTGTGCTATGTCGATCAATTTAACGCTTAATCAAAACAAAAGAAAAACCAAAAACAAAACCAAATACGATACAAAAACAAAAATAAAATAACCAAACAAAAAAGTGATCAAAGAAGACCAAAGCTAACAACCAGTGCATAGAAACCCGATCTGGTTTCTTTCTCGGTTTGAAACTTTGTTTTGTTATTCAAGAAAAAAAAAATCGTGGGGGCCAATAAAGCAGCCCAAAATAATCATAACATCATACTTGCTTCTCATCACTTGACTGATTTGTTTACATAGTTCTGGAGATTAGTACTCACAGTGACCGAACTGGGACGAATTCCAAAAACGGTGTTTGCATTCATTGTTATCGCCTCCATCAAAAACTATCGAGAATAAAAAATACCATTGCAGAATAAATGAAAGACTAGTTATCTGCTGAAAAATAGGCTGGCTAATCGTTGCATTTTAAGAAAATATGATTTTTTTTTCAATCTTTAAACCAAAATAGGCAATTCTCAAGTAAGCGCTTTACTTTGCCCTAAAAACTGGTGCAAAAGAAACTTGCAACAAATCGGAATCAGAATTAAAAGCAGTTGCTACTTCCTCGTGCAGTTCACCGACGCTTTCTTGACTTTCAATTTGTTTTCTCTTAAAGCCTTAGAAGATGCCCTTCGTTCTCGAAAATACCAGCAGGACTGAAACATAGGATGCCCCAAAAGGATTTTCTGTTGTAGGCTATCGTCTGTTTCTCAATTACTAAGGGCGTGGTTTTGTTCCAACATTATTATACAAATGCAAGAAGGGAAAAACTTCTACAAGCCTAACAGGCTTTTCCTTTGTTATTCAAATGTTCACTCACCCCTGTGACATCCGTCTGAAATGTGGTATCCCTTGGCGATAGTTGTGCAGTTGTTAGTCTCCCAATGATACGGATAAGAATGTGATATGATAATTCGTGGACAACTGAAGTCATAGAAGAAACTGTTTTTCAAATTCAGATGATGAAAAAAATATGATTACCTAATCCTTCTCTATCTTAGCTTGAGGAAGAAATTCAGATTATTTAGCCATGTTTTCTTGAGGAGGTCCTGAGAAACCGACAACGTTTGTGGTTTCAGATTTACTTATTGTACGCTAAGATTGATGATATCACAACATGTGCATGGTGTCAAGATCTCTTATCAATGGACCTTATGAATTAAGATTTCGCTATGTCGGTTTACCAACTCTGTGTGCTGCCGGCGCAAAACTCACTCCTGCAAAGTTGTAATATTCGGGACTCGAAATAATCAAACAACAAGGTTCAAAACATGGCTGCCATGTGCTCAGGTTTTAATCCACTATGCGTGCCTAACATTGTCCCATTACGAGAGGGCCTGAACCTAGTATATTACACTCCTCTCCACAAATGGAATTGTTAACTTGAACAAAATATTAACAACTTCATGGAGTACATTTAAACAACTAAAGTCAAAGTTCAGTTCAAAGTTCAGATCCAGGTTTACAAGTTAGTGTCTTGGGGTCTCCTCTCTCGCTAAGGATAATTGTGCTGTGGACAAGCGAACCTTAACAAACTTGGAGCGATGGACTCCTCTAGATCTGTTTCCACATGTCCCTTCTTTTGGAACTGAGCAGTCCTCTAAACTATCAGAAACAGCGCTTTCTGCAGAATTCTGAGGTGTTGAGGCACTATAGCCTGTAAAGGTGACTCTAAGGAAACAAAGGAACCATTGGTTGCTGGTCCGCTAATCTCCGACTCCTTCTTGTTAGCCTCTAGACCAGGCAGTTTGCATCCAGTTGACTTCCGATGGTCCACGTGAGCGCACTTGGTTCCTACAAGACCAGGTTGGTGTAGAGATTCGTCCAGGAATCTACCTTTTAACTCTTTTTCGCCAGTTACGAACAAGAACCTCGCCATTTAATTTGAATTCTCGGATATTTAACCTTCCCTCGTGATGGTAAAGGTAAAGGTCTCTATTTCTCTAAACAACATACGTGTTTAGTTACAATTTTTGAAGTTGAAAATTTTTTTAGTTACAATTTCTGATGGTGCTGCTTCTGTTTGATATGTTATTCTTCCAGAGCTTTGGCGAGGCTGGGCTTTAGTTATGTGAAGAAATTTCTGATTTGTCGCCCTAAGAATAGCTGAGATGATGACTGTCCAGTGACCATATGTGGAGTGCTGCGTTAAAGGATAAGGAAATTAGCCAGCCGATTTACTTGTGTCGAAATCCAGCACTTGCTTAGCTAGTACCGCTCTAGTTGTCTGTACTGAACGCTGGGAGCTCAATTAGATGCGGGGTGATATGGTGGTACAGGAATGAACTTGACCCCATTTTGTTTCATGAACTTAGCAAACTCTTCCGAAGCTAGTTGAGGCCCATTGTCCGAAACAAAGTCCTCGGGCAGACCATAACGGGAAAACAGAGAGTGCAACAATTCCATAGTTTTCAAACTAGCAGTGGAGGTCATGGGAATCACTTCCGACGATTTGGAATAAGCATCAGCCATCATTAGGAAGATGGACTTGCTCTTCTAGAAGAAATCAATGTGAATTATTTCCCAGGACTTGACAGGTCATTTCCGTGGGTACAATAGTGTCTTTGGTGGCAACGTGCAGACTGATGCACAGACTTGAAAGGCCCTGACCTCTGAGCTATGTCTGAATCCAAACCTGGTCACCAAAGATATCTTCTCTCTAAAGACTTAGGATAGGATAGGATAGGATAACTTTATTTATACACGGTTTTTCCATCAGTTGATTTAGTTAATTCTATACCAGAAACCTATCTATCTAACTACAATAATAATTTGATAATAACAATTCAAATAGAAGAAATAAATAAAAATTATCTTTTTCATGGAGGCCACGTCTAAAATTTACTTAGAATCAATGTCTTACTTTAAGATCTTACTTTAAACTGTGGCGATTTCATTTAGATTTGAAATCAGTCAGCAAAGACGCTTGTCTTAGGTCTACAGGTAAGTTGTTCCACAATTGAGCTCTGGTGTACAAAAAACTTCTCTTGAGATAGTCAGTCGGAGGTTGTGGAAGAAGTAATTTTTTTTCGGTATTCCTTAAACGATAAGCACTTACACTGTCACGATATACAAATCTTGATCTCAGATAATCAGGTGTCATACCATGTAATGTTTTATACATTAGGATAGATTTCTGTTCCAATCTTTGATAGCTAGTAGAGTCTTCGCCACCCTAGCGCCCGAAACAAATAATCCAAATTACTATCATAGCTCGCTGACATTAGGATGCGAGCTGTCCGATTTTGCAGTCTTTGCAGTTTTTCAGAAAGGCCTTTATTGCAGTTTCCCCACACTACGTTACAATAATCAAAATGTGGTTGAGTAAGGCTATTATAAACTTTAATTAGAAGATTAAATGGAGTGAGATGCCGAATTCGTTTAATCGCACCAATGGCACAAACTATCTTCTTAGAGATGTTTTCAATATGACACTCCTAATTTATATTTTGATCGACATAAACTTCAAGGGATTTAGCGGAGGTAAAGGGATAACTTCTGCATTAATGCAATAAGCATGAACTCAGTTTTTGTCATATTCAGGTTAAGTTTGTTAGCAGAGAGCCATTCGTACACATTGCTCAGGTCGTGATTAAGGCAATAATTTATATGCTCAATGTGAGTACTGGCAAGCGTCAGGCTGCACTCACTCTATGATTATATTTTCAACCTAAAAAATGCAGTAATCTACGTATACATAGAAAGCGCATAAGCCCCAATCGTAGCTATAATTTAAATGGTATAGATTTGGAGGTTGTCTCAGCTGAAAAAGATTAGGGGTTTGTAATTGCAAAGGACACCTCCTGGAAAGAACACTTACTTATGATAGTTACTAAAGCAAATAGGCTTCTAGGTTTTCTTGAACGAAATTGCGCAGGGTTGGTTGGTGAGGGCCCACTTTTGCGACTTTGCTGCTTCTTGGTGCATTCCCATTTTTGTTGTTGTTCTCAGCTATGGGCACCTCTGTCTAGTATTAGTAATTTACTCTTAGTAGAAAGGGTACACAGAAGAACCACACATCCTATTGTTAGAAATAGTACATTATCTTATAAGGATCGTCTTGTTAGGCTTAAACTATTACCACTTAACTATTTTTTGGAGTATTTATATCTCATATTTTCTTTAAATGTCTTCATGGACATATAGATCTAACCCGACCAATTGATAATAACTCGCCTAGGATGCTCAGCTTTTACCTTTTTAACTAAATATGAGCAAACATCTACTTTTCGAGAATTCTATTTAATTAGAGTTATCCCCTTGTGGAAAAATGTTCCAGTTGATGCTAGGCAGTCAGAGTCCCTTGGATCTTTTAAGCGCAAGCTTAAGGAGTTTTACTTTAACAGACTCTTAAATGTCTTTGATGGCGAAAATTATCGCACTTTCAAAATAATGTGTCCTAAATATCGTCGGATAAATACCCACTCGGTTTGTAGCTGTTAGTTTTTAGTTATTGTCTTCTTTTTGTGTAAGTGTATTAGATTTAGGGGATAGAGGGGATAGGACGCTCAATTTTTGAGGGTTGGGTTGGTATTTAAACCTAGCAGGGGACTCATGTCCTATTGTTTATATACCAGTACTTTGTACAAATCCTTAAATCAGTTAATCAATCAATCAATCAATCAATCTGCATACATTCTAGGTTCCGAATATGTCAAACAATGTGGTAAGTCATTAATATATATCAAAAATAAAAGAGGTCCCAAAATTGTTCCCTGGGAAACACCACATCTCAGACATCTCGGAGTTGACTTACAAGAATTTAAATGACAACTCTGTGTTCGGTTATCTAAATAAGAAGCAAACCATTGATGGCTGATCCAACAAATCCCATAGTATTGCAGTTCTCGTAATAACATATCGTGATCTACTGTATCAAATGCCTTTTGAGACTACGGTATTAACAAGACCACGGTCTATATCCACTGCCTAGCTATCTGTAGCTTCGATAAGTGTTGTGAGCGTGGAATGTAAAGACCGAAAACCAGATTAATGGCACGAGAGAATGTTGTTTTTAATTAAATAATGATAAAGCTGATCGTAGATTATCCGTTCAAAGACTTTGGCCACAACTGGAATTACTGATATTGGTCGATAATTCATCGGATCAGAGTGCTTCCCGGAACTTTTGTACAATGGGGTGACTGGCACTTTTCCACTCATCGGGAAATTAAAGATGCCAGTCATTAGGGATTGATTACATATATGAGTAAGAGATTCCGCTAATGCTTTAGGACATTCCCTTAGAAGTTTCGCAGCAATATTATCCAATCCGGTCGCCTTTGACTTGCGGAGCCTTGAAGGTACTGTAAAAACACGTGTTGGTGTTGTTTTTTCAAAAAGAAAATCTTATCAGTTTCAGTAAAAAATTCTTCAAAGGATTTATCAACTTCTCTCACGTCTCTACTACGGCTTGGTCCAATTTCTGTGAAAGATGAGTTTAGCATTTTTGCTATATATATCTGTTTTATTTCGAATTTACCCCATTATATTCCATCTCATTAATAACAGTTTTATTGGACATTGTCGAGGTCAGTTCATTGATTGTTTTCCCTGTTTTCCTTTGATCCCCACAACAATTGTTGAAGACATTTTCATAATAGGCTTTTTTCGTGCTACAGTGTCGTCAGCATGCTCTATACTCTGACAGGGCACGCTTGCAAAAAGCCAATCAGAATCCTTGTTAGAATGGGTACCTAACTTGATTGAATGAACAAGACGAAAGCTGTCAAAATGTCAAACCATCAAAAGCTATCACGAAGAATCGCAAATCTTGCCTAATAATTCGAATGCATCAAACTACATTTTTTTGCGTACAAAACCCAGTATAAGTAGGAACATGATAATGAAATCCAGCCGAATTTTGGCCCATGAAAAGCTGGACGGTATCAACGTGACAATTTGAAAACAAATGCTTAAATCTTGTGGTTGGAACTTGACAAACTGCTGCGCTGTGTTGTTCTGTGAATAAACAACGGTCGAATTTACAGCAGCGTGAGGATTTTCTGAACTGGTGGCTGCATCAGAGGAACTTGGCTGCGATGGTCTTCCATTCAACGCACCAGAGAGGATATCTTAACAAGCCCTTAACTGTTCACTGGATGGACGAGTGTTGTAATTCCTCAGGCTAGCTTCACTGCGATGACGAGAGATAGCAATTATGTGTCGCGATGGAACTTGCGCGTTGGACCACAGCGTGATTGCAAGGACTCTGACACTATAGTTAGTGTAGATTCTCGAAAGAGACGCTAGTTTAGAAATTTCTTTCATTATTTCAGGACTGCAAACACCCTTTGTGATACAGCAATATGAACGGTAAGATGATATTATGTTAAATAAGCAGTAGACTGGATGTAAAATGCGAAACAATTGAGTTTGCGTGTGAATGTGTACATTTTCGAATAACTGACAGCACCGTCAAATCAGCTCATTTTATCCAATTTAAAATTTGATTAAATCGCGCAGAATCATTACCCCAAAAAATCCTATGGAGATCGAAAAGAACTACACTTCGCCTTCCAAAAGCCATATTTTCAGTCGATTATTTTATTTACCACATAGTTAAATAACGGGTTACTTTTGACCTATTTTTAATCTTGTTAGAAGGGGGTCGGATAAATTCAATTACATTGTGTAAATAAATGNGGACCACAGCGTGATTGCAAGGACTCTGACACTATAGTTAGTGTAGATTCTCGAAAGAGACGCTAGTTTAGAAATTTCTTTCATTATTTCAGGACTGCAAACACCCTTTGTGATACAGCAATATGAACGGTAAGATGATATTATGTTAAATAAGCAGTAGACTGGATGTAAAATGCGAAACAATTGAGTTTGCGTGTGAATGTGTACATAATCGAATAACTGACGGCACCGTCAAATCAGCTCATTTTATCCAACTTTAGAATTTGATTAAATCGCACTGAATCATTTCCCCAAAAAATCCTTTAGAGATCGGAAAGAACCACACTTCCCCTTCCAAAAGCCAGATTTTTAGTCGATCATTTGGTATAGCACATAGTTAAATAACGGGTTACTTTTGACCTATTTTTAATCTTGTTAGAAGAAGGTAGGATAAATTCAATTAGATTGTGCAAATAAATGATCAAGAATTGCTTAAATTGCCGTCAACAGATATATTGATGTTGTTTTTCAAGATTTCGTACTTTTTATCGGTCCAAGAGTGTTCAGTTCGTGGCGCGATGCTCCCAGATTCGTCTGTAATTTTGAGCTTCAAGAGCGGCATTTTCGCGATATTCAGTTGTTATCGATTTTCTCCAAAATGAATGGATATTCAGCCAAACGAAGTATGTAGTGCTTTTTTTCACCATAAGGCCTACCTAACTTAAGAATATGAACCGAAAGGATTTTTTAGCTGCTGCCACCATATTTTGAAAATGTCCGATTTTTGGCCACATTTCCTTTCAAAATGTTTGAACTGTGTAAATGTTATCAAGTTAACCCCCTTGGAGAGAGTGGGAACTGAGATTTTTCGATATGCATCAACTAGACTGTGGTCACTTAGGGCGACATGAGACACTCCCGAACAATACACATTCTCTGGTCGATTTGTAAAATCAGATCAATTAATGGACTTGTAGTAGGTGTAATTCGGGTGGGTTCGTTAATCTGTTGATCCAATCCATAAATGTCTGTTATGTTCAGAAGAGCTTTCACATTAACATTGTCTTTGGATTGCAAGTCACAATTTAGATCCCCCATAAGAAAATGTTCTACGTTTTCAGAATCTAATTTGCCTAATAATGTGTAAACGTGTGCGAAGGGCTCATGAAGTGAATTTGGGGGTCTGTACTATGAAGTAATAACAAAGTGTTTTGAGTTAAGTTTACGAATCTCAATTGATATTATTTCCAGGAGCTGACCGTCCAAATCTGTGCACACAAGAAATCTGTGCGCGTAATAAGATACGTCACCACCTAACCTACCATTTGTTGACCTGTCACGACTTCATATGGCAGATCCCGTAATGCTCCTGATGTAATTTTTCCAAGAGGCGATCCCAATGCATTCCAGGAATAACCCCCATCAGACCCAGCGGCACACAGCCTTGGTCAACCAAGAGTTCCTTTCTTCGTGAAAAATGGGGCTGTGAAACTGGATCTTACACGGCTTGGGGCCATACATGCAAGGTGAAGTCATACACATGTGCTAACATTGAATCTTTTTGGGTGAGAGCGGCCATGTTTCCAGTAATAATAGGAAGTTCATCCACATAACAGACCTCATACCCTTCGGTCTAGATTCCTCCTCTGATGTCCACTGCACCAGCCTCGACATAACATCAGCGTTGGCGCGTTCAGATGATCTACGATACTGAATCTCATACTGGTAGGCTGCCAAAATCAGGCACTATCCTTACCTTTTCACAGCTACCGGGGTAAGAACACCCGTCTTGGATCGTAATGAGGTGACTTAAGGCTTATGATCTGTGAGCAACGTGAAATACCCCTCGTACTGGTATGAATGGAGCTTGTTCACCCCAAACAAGAAAAAAGAGCTTCCTCTTTAATCTGAGTGTAGTTACGTTCACTAACAGAGAGAGAGTCCGGGTCTGAGTCCATCACGTGGGAAACTTTTGCGTCAACATCATAGGCAGGTGCATCACAAGCCAGGTGGAGAGGTTTCTTGACATCATAGTGGACCAACAGTGGCGAAGCTTGAAGCTACTCTTTACTTCTTTTTAAAGCACCCTTGCATTCTTCGGTCAACTGCCAAGATGTATCCAAGATGAAGCCCATAAGAGGGTTGAGGGTTGTCGCTAGATTCGGAACAAGTTTGCCATAGTAGTTAAGTTGTCTCAGATATGACTTCAATTTAATGACATTGGTTGGGCTCTTGGTATTCACCATAGCATCTATCTTCTGTGGCAGGGGACACCAAGACAACCGAAGCCGCCCAGTCACTTTAGTTCATTTTGTAAATCATCTCTTCATCTTTCAGTGGCTGCAACTTTTGTTACACTTTGTCCTTTTAAGAGCATAAGGAACCGGTCGTGCCTTGAAGAAGATAGGTTGTGCATGATCCTGAAGCTTAATGGAAGCTCTAAACTACTTGAGATTTCCGTAGCCGCTTGCAAACAATATTGTATATCTCGAGACATTATCGTGCACAACATTCTCCTCGGTCACCTTGAAGATATTCGACCAGTTCAGACGCAGTTTCTTAAGCCAGTTCCGCCCAAGATGTAGAGGCTTGTCACCTTTAGCTACGAACAGCGGTAGCTGTGCTTCTTGAGTTTGGTACTTCACTGACACTCGGAAGCTCTCCAAGAAGGATAGCAGCTCACCAGGGTAAGTTCTCAGTTGAAGATTTGTTGGCTTCATCGTAAGATTCCTAAACAAATTATTTGATCTAATTTCATAAATAATGGACGCAGCAGATCCTGCATCAACATCCGTGGTGACTTGCTTGTCCTCTACGTACAACTGGACTTGAGATCTTGATCCACCCTTCCCTTTTGAGTTCATAGTGTACGAACCAAGATCAACTATTTCATGTCCGCGATCAGCCTGCAATCATGTTTACCGCCTGTGAAAGGTGCTCAACATACCTTGTGGGGGGGGGGGTGGGGGTTTCACGTTTCCGAAAATTGTGCATTTTAGCCACCTGCCCCTTTGTCTGAAATTTGTAGAGCTGCACTGCTACAATACTCCGACGGTCGATGTCTTTGACCCCAATGAGAAGAAACTCTACGGCCTTCGGGCAGTTGTTTCGAGCTGTTTAAGTTGCTGACCCTAGCCATCTCCATGGATTGTGCCATTTCAAACGCTTTCTGAATGGTTAAGTCTCTCTTCCAACAATTTCTTCTAAATATGGACGTTTTTCAGCCCACTTACTAATCGATCAAGCAAGGCTTACTCCAGAAACTCTCCACATTCGCATTTCAACGCAAGCCGCTTTAGTTCAACTACAAACTGAGCGGTCAATTCCCTCTAACGCTGATTACGACGGTGGAACTTGAAGCGTTCCGGTGGCCGGTCTGGGGCCAACATATTGCGAGGAACTCCATAGGCCCCCACTCCGATTAAAGAGAGGAATTTCGAAACCTCGGGATCTTTTTCGACGCAATTTGCTGCAAAATACAGATCCACCGGCTCTATGTAGCTTGCAATGTCTTCTTTCCCTTCCAAATATTCTCCGACTTGACCCAGAAAAACCATTGGAGCATTCTCGTCGCTAGAATTGGAATACTCCGGGACTCGAAATAACCGAACAACAAGAGACAAAACATGGCTACCGTGTTCTAAGGTTTTAATACACTACGCACGCCTTACATTGCCCGGTTACGAGAGGGCCTGGACCTAGTACATCACAGAAGTGAAAACGTTCACCAGTTTTAATAAGCAACTAAAAGCCGTGTTACTTAAAGCGACTTACCTCCCTTGACGGCATGATGAGTTGAATTTGTTTGGTCCACTGGGTATCTTAAAAGGACAAAATAGAAAGACTATGTTATGGTACAGGTATGAAGATTTTATAGAAGATTTTTTTAGGAATTTGTTTTTTCTTAAATTAAACGCGATTTAATATTTTTTCGGAGAAATTTTGATGATGAATTACTTGGTTATTGTCTCTTGTATTAATGAAAATTCTTAAACCGCGGAGTTTTACAGAAATGTTTTAGCCCCTAGATAAGCCGTAGGAACACAAGTGTAATGGCCAATCAGCTGATGACACGCCACTTGCCTTCGCTCCACTCTGTCAGGTTGGTGAACGAATGGCTTCTAATAGAAAGTTACTTGGCTTTGGCAATGACATTTCTTGCAGCTAAGATTGAAAATTAGCAACTGGAAGATTTACAACCGTCCGACTTGGACATGTGTCTGGCCTGATCTCTTCTGACATTACGGATAAAGACGATGACTGAAAATGTTCTGATTTGAAAGCCGAACCTATTGTTTGCTTTCGCACTAAGTCAGCTTTTTTTTTTTCCTTTTTATCTTCGACCTTATCGCACACGCACTTTATGACTATGTTGGCGGATTGTAGATTTTCCTTTATTGACAAAGTCCACTTTTCTTGTCTGAAAAGGAATGTATAGTTTATTTGATGGACAAAATACCACATGGATGCTTGTGTGTACAAAATCTCTCTTTTCGGTTTTTACAATGCGACTCATTCGTTTGCTGCTCTCTCTCTCTCGTAAGCTATTTGCTTTCAACAATCAAAGAGAAATACTATTTCTACACGCAATGTTTAATATGAAGTTTTCTATGGAGCTATAATGACGCCATTATGACATGTTTGCATTCCAGCGAAAAGAATCGCATATCTCAAGGCTAATAAAAAAGAAGCTGATCTAGAGATTGGTAAATGAAGAGTTGATTAAAATAGGAATAAATGATTAAATGAATAGATATTAGACATTCACCTGATAAAATATTGTATACGGTGGGGTTCCATCATTTTGCAGTACATCGACCCTAAAGGTTCCTAGTAAGACATAAAACGACAGGTACGTTTGATTGATAAGCAAGAAAGAAAGTATTTTCTAGCTATTGATATTACTCTCTTTATTATTATTTTTAATACATTTTCTCAAATCTACCTTCTGTCCCTGCTAACTCGTGTATGTCGCTGTCGCTCAGTTTTCTACCCTGGTGCTGGTCAGTAAAGGGAACACACAGCGAGAGGTTGAGGCAGTTGTTTGCTGCGCTTTGAAGGTGATCGTTATTCTGTGAGCTGATACTCACAACTAAGGTCCATCCACCACCTGATGAATGATAAAATGAAGTAAAATTAGTGCTCGTGTAGCCTCGTGTCATTGATGTCTTCAAACTATCCTTTTCGTTATCTCTGTTCGATAAGTATAAAGGGTTTCTTTTTTCCTTTTTTCCTGGGACAGTTTGCTATTGGCCTCGACAAAATGTACCAGAACAATCTATCCCAGGTAACGCCTCTGCATTTCCACCTAACCCCTTCATTACCCACCCATCCCTTTAACACCGCCACCGCGAAAAACATATTATCAGAACTTATAAATTTTCAGTCTCACCAGAAGAATATCAAAGTATTAATATTATAATTAACTCTTTGCTTTCAATTTCATCCCTTTGTACATACCGTGTTTTTCCATATCACAGTAGACTTGTGCATTTCTATTCCCAATATTTATCCCATAGTAGCCGCTTTCCGCACGAGGCCGCCTATCAAGAATTTCCGAGCACGATTTGAATTCATCATCCTGTAGATTTATATATTATAGATGGTTCTTAGCCAGAAAGCCTCAGCTACTCAATTATTTATGGATCCATGCATGCATTTGTCTGTTTTCTATAATTCGCAATGGCTAATGTGGGAGCTGTCTGAACCACGCCGTATTTTACCTTGCAATCATCCGGGTATTATGGTTGGCAGATAACACAAATGCTTCTCATAAATTCATCGCGATATTGTCTGCTATTTGGGACAGGTTGTATTCGCTAGTTGCTCGTACTCACAAAGGAACGAGGCCTAAGACTAAGGTGAATTTTTTCCCAAAGTTTGGACGAAATGATGAAGCAGAGGAAGAAATTTCACTTTTATATTCTTTCTAGAGAGTGTGTCAATTTCTTACCTTGTTCATATAAACTGATCCTTCCTTCGGGCCAAAATCCCTTGGGTGAGTATGTTTGTTCGCATCATTCAATTCACATGACTTATCTTTTAAACGGAAGTTGAAACTCTTGCAGCGAGACTCGCTCGAACAGATCATCACACACTCACTAATACTGGAAGTTTTTTGAGTTTAAATAACGTGACCGGAAAGATGTTGACCATACTCTGAACTTGTGGAGCGACGGCACTGCTCAATGGCTTGACTTAGTTGTGCATGGAATATGACGATGAACAGGCCAAAACAACCCAGCAGCATGGTTTTCTGATGAAATGACGAGAAAACAAATATGCAATTGAAATAAAAGCAAAACTAAAAACTTAGATTGTGAAGAAGATTTTGAGGAATACACGCTGGCTGGTCCAGCCAAACTCAGCCAACTATGACTGTTGGAAAGTTTTTAAAATAATACAATTTCTCAAAGTGTACCTACCGTATGTGAAGCACTTTTCAGATCCTTCACAAGAGCTTGCGAAATTCGAGTACAGACCCCAAGAGGGACTTAAGAACGTCTTGTGTAGTCCTGCTATAGAGGTCTTTTATTCGAAAATAACAAAACGGAAGTTACTGCTTCGAAAGAGAAGCTAAAATTAAAGATGTTACTCTTGACGTCTCAATAAACTAAATAGGGACCTTAAGCAACCACGCCGGCGACGGCAACGAGAACGTGGAAAAACAAGAGATCTAATTGGCAGAACAATAGCTCAGCACGTGCATTTTGAAACTTTGTACATTTCTTAGCCGTCCTATTCAAAACAGAATTAACAGAGAATTCGAGGAAGAAGAGGCCTACACAAGGCAACGAGGACGTGGAAAAACAATAGATCTAATTGGCAAAACAATAGCTCAGCACGGTATACTACGTGTTATTGAAACGAATCAATTGATTACAAATTCAGAGCAGAAGATGGAAAGTACAAATTGTTTACCCCTAAGGCCACCCTAGGGAAACGATGTGTTGAAGGTATCTGTTTAAAATTTCCGAAAAATATTATTGATCATGAATTTTACATGAAATTTGATTCAAAAACGAGCTTGAAAATAGTAGAAAGTTTAAGAATTAGGAATTTTTTTCGACGGTCCACAACCATTTTTCACGATCGACAAAACTAGGAGCCTATCAACAGGAGCCTTTATCTCCCATACTAAGCCTTGGAGTCAACCCTTTCCTGAGTAGATTTATTTATAGAACGGCTCTCAGGGGAGGTTTCGCACGAACACAGTTTAAAGACCCAATCAAAACGGAGCTTGATGTTGTTTTACATCACATTCCTCCATCAGACGCGCGCGAAGTCAAAAATGGCGGACAGCGATGCAGATAGTGAGGAGGGTTTGTCTGGTTTAGATTCAGAAGAAAGTTCTGATTCGGTCGATGTCTCGTCAAGCGAATACAGCATATCATCTGATAGCAAAAGTGAAGAAGAGAATTTAGCGACGTCTTCCAGTGGCGGTAAAAATGCAAAGGGAACTGCCACCGCGACTGCNCGGAAATCAAATACTACTTTCTCTCCAGACTGCGTTCATTCAGTATTAACCGTTATCCATGAAACTGTTTACGGTACTATCCATGAGCACATACGTTTAAATAAAGTAGAGGCCAAGGCTTGCGAAGACTCTACACGTCAGAGAAGATGCAACATGCCAGAAGAGTCTGTTCATCATTACAATAGAGAACTGAATTATTCAGTTTCAAGAACTCATCTTTATCTGTTCCTTATCTGATGGGCTCCTGAGATAACTTTTTCATTGGTCAAAAAATAATAATTTTCGTGATAGTCGTGATATTCGTGATAGTCTAGAAATATTTTAAAGGATGGAGAAAACGTTTTTCATCGGTCGAACAATATCTTAACTTATTGAGAATTTTTGGTAGATTGAGAATTTTTTTATGATGAAGAAATTTTTCACGATCGAGAAAACGTTTTCATCGGTCAAAAAGAAAAAAAAAATTACGAGAAATATTTGCGATAATCTAAAAATATTTTAAAGGATTAAGAAAACGTATTCATCGGTTGAACAACATTTTATATGGTTGAGAATTTTTTCGGTGGATTGCGAATTCATTTTGTCGAAGGAAAATTTTTTTGTTGATCGAGAATTTTTTTTTCCATCGAGAATTTTTTTTCCAGCGAGAATTTTCCTGCTGATCAAGATTTTTTTTTCGTCGATCGAGAATTTTTCTGTCAATCGAGAAATTGCTGGTCAGCGTGTGTTTTCACGCCAAATTTGATCAAGTTTGAGTTTAGGCTTCTCGCTTCAAGTAAAAAAAAAGCAACCACCGGTTACAAACTTTCTGTGGTAACATTCCTTAAATGAAAAACGACATACAGAAAGCTTTTTGTCTGGGGCCTGTATGAATGAAATTATCCATAGTACTCATAAAGTACTTTGTTTCATAAACATATTTTATCTCTATATAGGACAATTTTTAAACCCTTTAACACTGCACTGAGACAATGACCAGGGAAATAATCTTCCTTCCGTCGTCCGCTCCTACACGCCAATAATATGAAAAGATAAATTGAAAAGATACACCTTAAATCATTTTAAAGTTGAAATTGGCTGTTTTGGTCAATTTCTAGCCCAAGTTCTTAATTTTGTTGCACCAAGCCATAAAGCTACGCAGACCTACTACATTTAAGATTCGAGACCAATTTCCAACTCTACCCTAAAAGTAAAACTACAGCATGAACAAAGAGTTCCTTCCTTGCAAAGATAATTGCTTGGCACTGAGATGTTGTAGCTACCAACGAGGTTCAGCACTAATTAAGTTCAAATCCATTGGAAATCTAACCTTCTGCAAGTCCGTGGTCTTTGTTAAATTGATGAGCTCAGTTCTTCCGTTTCCTGCTATCTTTGTAAATTGTGTTTGAACAATCGTTTACGGCTGGAATAATAAGTTTGAAACCATGGTTATGACAAAACTCGCACCCAAACTTAAAAAAAAAAAAATTAGGGGAAAGGGAGATGTTTAAGCTTAAAGGATACCGCGCAGAGAACACAAGATATATCACAGAAATATGGGACTTTATAAAGCCAAAATTTAACATTTTACAAAATTTAACTTAATTAAAATGTTTTGCCAGTCAGTAAAAAAGGTAAGGTGTTGGATAGGATCATTCCCTGCTGTT